AAAAAAAAAAGAGTCTCATGGACTTTCCTGCCCGGGCTGGCTTTGAACCAATGATCCTTAGATCTCAGTCTCCTGAGTAGGGTAACAGGCATCAGCCACCAGCGCCCGGCTACTCCTTTTTCTTTGAGCTAGTAATGGGGCTTGAACTTAGGGCCTCAAGCCCACAGCTTGGCTTTTTTTCTGGTTAATTGGAGATGAGTCTCACAGATTTGTCTGCCTGGGCTGGCTTTGAATTGCAGTCCTTAAATCTCAGACTCCTGAATAGATAGGATTATAGGCATGAGCCACTGGTCCTGGCTTCCAGCCCACCTTTTTTGCTAATTATTTTGCCTCCTGCTCATTTGCACACATGGACACAATCCACCTATATTAGACTTCCTGTCATAGCTAGGATAATAAGTGAGATTCATAGTATTGAGGTCTGTTGAAAAGGGGACTTGCCTTCAACCACAATCTTTACAATCTCAGTTTCCCAAGTAGAATTATAGTCATGAGCCACAGGCACCTGGCTCTGACTTGATTTTTCAAGAAGTTTGGAGTTCATTTTTTCTTTGTGCTTTTTGCCTAGTGGTTTCTGTTCTATTAGAGCAAGATTTCTGAAGCTGTCCTTGTGTCTCTTCTGCTGTGTGTGTGTGTGTGTGTGTGTGTGTGTGTGTGTGTGTGTGTGTGTGTTATTTCCTGCTTGCTTCTAACATGTTCCAACCTACTTATCATGGACATAGTTTTTTCCTTTTGCAGCTAAAATGTGGAGCCTGTGGTGCCATTGGACACATGAGGACAAACAAATTCTGCCCCCTTTATTACCAAACAAATGCTCCACCTTCCAACCCTGTTGCTATGACTGAGGAGCAGGAGGAAGAGTTGGAAAAGACAGTCATTCATAATGATAATGAAGAACTTATCAAGGTTGAAGGGACCAAGATTGTGTTAGGGAAACAGCTAATTGAGAGGTAAGAATAATAAGCAGGAAGTGCTGTGGGAGACATCTATTAGAATGTTATTGGGTAGCACAGGTGAATGTGGTGGGTAGCCAGGCGTTAGTGGCTCACAGTTATAATCCTAGCTACTCGGGAGGCTGAGATCTGAGAATCGCGGTTTAAAGCCAGCCTGGGCAGGAAACTCCATGACACTTTTACCTCCAATAAACCACCAGAAAACCAGAAGTGGCGCTGTGGCTCAAGTGGTAGAGTGCTAGCTTTGAGCTGAAGAGCTCAGAGACAGTGCCCAGGCCCAGAGTTCAAGCTTCCCCCAAAAAAACAACAAGACCAAAAACAAAAAAAACAAACTTCCAGTATTTGTTAGGCTTTACTACTTGGCCTTCGGCCACTGCCCCTTTTTAAATTTTTTTTGGTCTTAGTTACCATATTTACAAGATAAAACTTCTCTTACCTATTTGTTTTATTGCAATTGAACCCAGGGCCTTATGCACTATAGGCTAGTGCTCTATTACTAGACTACATCGTCAGTTCCTCCCCCCATTTTTGTGCCAGTCAGTCCTGGGCCTTGAATTAAGGGCCTGGACACTGTCCTTGATCTTTTTTGCTCATGGCTAATACTCTACCACTTGAACCACAGTGCCTCTTCAGGCTTTTTCAGAGTAGTTTATTGGACATAATAGTCTCAATGACGTTTCTGCCTGGGCTGGCTTTGAACGGTGATCCTTAGATCTTAGCCTCCTGAGTAGCTAGGATTATAGGCATGAGCCGCCAGTGCCTGGCACCCTTTTTTTCCTCTTTATTAATTGGAGTTGTGTCATAGACTTTACTGCCCAGGCTGACTTGTAACTGCAATCCCCACCCAGGTCTTAGCCTCCTGAGTAGCTAGGAGTAGCCTGGCCCAAATGTTTTAAAAATGCAAATCTATAGAATAATTTTATTTATTTATTTTTTGCCAGTCATGGGGCCTGAGCTCTGGGCCTGGGCGCTGTCCCTTAGCTCTTCAGCTCAAGGCTAGTGCTCTACCACTTGAGCCACAGCTCCACTTCTAGCTTTTTCTGCTTATGTGGTTCTGAGGAATCAAACCCAGGGCCTCATGCATGCAAGGCAAGCACTCTACCACTGAGCCACCTTCCCAGCCCATCTATAGAATAATTGAAAGTATAAAATATAGTAGAATCTAGCAGTTTATGTTTTCTGCACTCATTTCATTTTTACCAAATTTTTTTGAAACCATTTAAAAGTAAATTACAGACTTTTCATTTTTATCCTCTAGCACACATCTTCTAAGAATCTGGGCACCAATGGCTCATGCCTGTAATCCCAGCTACTCAGAACGCTGAGATCCTGAGAATCCTGGTTCAAAGCCATCCTGGGCAGGAAAGTCCGTGAGACTCTGAATCTCCAATTAACCACCAGAAAACTGGAAGTGGCACTGTGGCTCAAGTGGTAGATAGAGTGCTTGCCTTGAGCTGAAGAGCTGAGGGACAGCACCCAAGCCCAGAGTTCAAGCCCCATGACCACCACCACCACCAACAACAAAAAAATAGGCATATACCAACATACTGTTCTCACCCCTAAGAAAATTAACATTGGTCAGGTGCTGGTGGCTCATACCTATAATCTTAGCTGAGTCCTCAGGAGGCTGAGATCTGAGGATTGCGATTCAAAGCCAACCTGGACAGGAAAATCCGTGAGACACTTATCTCCTCCAATAAACCACTAGAAAACCGGGAATGACGCTGTGGCTCCAGTGGTAGAGCACTTGCCTTGAGCTGAAGAGCTCAGGGATAGTGCCCAAGACCCCAGAGTTCAAGCCCCATGACTGACAAAAACAAACAAAAACATTAATTTGGTAATACATAATAACCAAGCCTTAGCCTTATTCATATTTCCCTAGTTGTCTCAATGTTTTTTTATTGCCTCCTTTCCCAATTCTGGATCCAGTCCCAGTTTAAACATTAAATGCTTTTTTGGGGGGGGTTCTTTTTGGTGACAGGAAGTACTTTGGCCTAAATTCAGATTTATATTTTCACTCAGCTTTTTCATTCAAAGCTGGGGCTCTGTTACTTCTGCGCTGGCTCAAGCTCCAGCTTCTGAGGGTTAATTGGTGATAAGAGTCTCATAGTTTTTCCTGCTGGGGCTGACTTGGAACTAAGATCTGAGGCTCTTAGCATTCTAGCAGTACCTGGCCAGCATTAATTTTTTTTTTTTTTTGTGGGTTGTGGGGCTTGAATTCTGGGCCTGGGTATTGTTCCTCAGCTCTTCACTTCAAGACTAGTACTCTTATTACTTGAGCCATATTACCACTTCTGGCTTTTTCTGTTTATGTGGTACTGAGGAATCGAACCCAGGGCCTCAAGCATGCCAGGTAAGCACTCTACCACTGAGCCAACTTCCCAGCCCTGTCAGCAGCTTTATATGGACCTGAGGTTGGACATTCTTCAGCCTCTGTTTTGAACCTTCCTGGTATAAGATGCCACTAGTTCTTGAACTTTGCTTGTCCTTGAGCTAGGATTGACCAGTTTCTCCAAGGAGCCCAGGTTCCTTTTATTGGAAATGGTATTTAGAAACCAAGGTCTGTTACATATGCTCATTACTACGGAAATATTGATTCTAGACTTTTTAATAGACAAAATTAGAAACTTGTATTTTAAATTACAACTTGATACTGACCCCAATTTTTTCCTAAAGTATTCTTTCTCATCCTCCCCCCATTTCAAATTTGTATCTGATTCTTAACCAGAAAATAGATGTATTTTTCATTTTTTTCTGTGTTAAATACAAAATAGGTCTGGAAGAATGTTTCACACTTGCAGTCCTAATTGGAAGCTGAGGATAAGGGGACCACTGTTTGAGGCCAGCCCACACGTAAAAGTTCAAGAAATTCCATCTCAGTCAATGGCTGGATACAATGGCATGAGCTTATGTTCCCAGCAACAAAAGATCAACCCAGTCCATCCCCTGGCATGAAATATGACACTACCTGGAAAATAACTAATACAGAAAGTGGCGGGAGGCATGACTCCTGGGTCCAACCACAGTTATTAAAAAAAAAAAAAGTAAACAAAATGAAAGCAAAAAAGGCAGGGAGTTTATGGTTTAAGTGGTAGAGCATTTTCCCAGCAAGTGCCAGGCCATGAGTTCAAACCCCAGTACCACAATAAATGAATGAAAAAAAGTGTGTGCATGTCTTTGGGGCTTGAACTCAGGACCTGGGCATTGTCTCTGAGCTTTTTTTTTTTTTGGCAGTCTTGGGGTTTGAACTCAGGGCCTGGGTGCTGTCCCTGAGCCTGGTCACTGTCCCTGAGCTTCTTTTGCTCAAGGCTAGTACTCTACCACTTGAGCCACACCTCCACTTCTTATTTTTTGTTTTTTGAGTAGTTTACTGGAGATGAGAGTCTCATGGACTCTCCTACCTAGGCTGGTTCTGAACCACAATTCTCAAATCTCAGCCTCCTGAATAGGTAGTTTTATAGACATGAGCCACTGGAACCCAGCAAAATGCACTATCCCATATACCTCAAAGTATTGAAAAGGTAAGTGGGCATTAAAATGAAAAATGCAAACTAGTAAATTTTCTTGCCTGGGTTTTTAATTTTCTCCTCATTTCTGTTGTACAGAGTCGAATCAAATTCCTTTAAACCCAAAGTAGAATGTTAGAACTGGAATGATTTAAATTCCTTTAGCCTAGGAAAGTGAGATGACATGACTTGCCTTGTTCTTTACTAATTTGGAGATCCTATGAGGCCTTGTCTGAGTAGCTAGGATTACAGGCATGAGCCACTGGTGTCCAGCTATGCCTTGGATTTTTTTTCTCCCCAGGCTCATGCTTATGTAACTTGGACCTTTTTGTTATAGACTTTTTTTCCTCTTGGGAACTAGACATAGTTATGAAAAATGTTATTGATTACAGTGCGGATGAAGTTCGCAGAAAATCTCTGGTTCTAAAGTTCCCTAAACAACAGCTTCCTCCCAAAAAGAAACGACGGGTTGGAACCACAGTTCACTGTGACTATTTGAACGTGAGTATCTACATTGCCTCCTGATTAAATGTGATTTCCCCAGTCTTCTGTGACATAACTCTTGATATATTATCCTCTGGCCATCCCTGAAAATTATTCATACTGTTACTATAAGATTTCTGTAATATTCCTTGATCTAAATATTATAGGATCTAAAACTTTGTTATTTCTTGTTTCTCTTTAGAGACCTCATAAATCTATCCACCGGCGCCGGACTGACCCTATGGTGACACTATCATCTATCTTGGAGTCTATCATCAATGACATGAGAGACCTTCCAAATGTGAGCTCATTGCCTTTGGATTTCTACAATAGCAAAGCTTGTTGTTTTATCTATTACTTCAGGTAGAGGGCAGTAGTGTATAAAATTAGGTACTTGGAAAGCCTTTTTCTTTGGGATGTAGTTTTATTTGTTCCTTTTTTAGTAGCTTTTTATATAAGAAACAGACATATTGCATCTAGATTCTTTTGAGAGTTTATGGCCAAGGAGATGAGTGTGAAGTGTTCAAGGATTGGCTCTGGCAAGTTTTCTTTTCTTTGTTCATAAAGGGTGCTGCTGCTTCTTTTCACAGACATACCCTTTCCACACTCCAGTCAATGCAAAGGTTGTAAAAGACTACTATAAAATCATCACTCGACCAATGGATCTCCAAACACTCCGTGAAAATGTGCGCAAACGCCTCTACCCATCTCGGGAAGAGTTTAGGGAGCATTTGGAGCTAATTGTGAAAAATAGCGCAACCTACAATGGTAACAATCACTTTTTACTTGACTATAAAGGTTACCTTTCACATCCTTACCTTACCTTATGCTTGCTTTTCTGTATTCAGACTAGTTTCCATTAATTGAAAGATAACAAAGTATTAATGCATTTATGGATCTTAAAAAAATCAGGTTGTGTACTTTTTCTGTCATTTAGAAAGTATTGTTTGGTGTTTTTTGAATTGCAGATAGTTTATTGACAAGTACATGGTTTTAGCTGCAGTTTAAATTCACTTGAACAGGAGACAATAATCAAGTCAAAAGAATAAGTGTTTGCTAATCCTCAGAAAATCTGTCAGTTTTTGGGCTGTCAGGTAGAAATCCAAAATCACTCCAGCCAGGTCTTAAAGAAAATTCGTCCTCTTATAGTCCATATGGAATGGATCCATAGTACCTAGAATCTGTAGAATTCTGTAGATTATCCCCTTTTAGCCAAACATGACCCATTGGCACCTAGCAAGCATGGGGTCTTGAGTTCAAACCCTAGCAGTAAATAACTATAGTTTTTAAAGAAATCTGATGGACTAGTGGTAAGGATTTTGTCTCCTTCCAGACTAAGTACTCGCTTAGAAATATTTGACTTTGGATCACTCGAACTTTTTGCAATCACAATGTCACCTCTTTGGATACCTAAAAATGCCAACTAAGATTTTCTGCAAAGACAATATCTGAATTATGAATTGTAGGCTCCATTGGTGGTCCAGAACACATTACAACACCACCAGCGTATTCAAAAGCACAGTGGGCTATACAGCCATACTGAATAGTATAGCCAACAAGTCGAAAGGTTTTTCCCAGAACACCACGAAACATAGTTCTATGTTGAGTCTGCTACCATTGGCCCTAGGTATGTTTTAAAATACATTAAACTTTTAGAGTAATCACAGGCTTTCCAGAAAAACAATCTAAACCATGTCCCAGAGCAAATGCAGATGATCCATAATTTTAGGATATCTCTAACCCCCAAAATCCCAGAAGACCTTCACCCTGAGATTCAGGTGGGTGTTTCTCACCTGAGCCCCTCACCAGTTCTCCCGAAAGTATTGTTTTTTGTTTGTTTTTTTTTGCCGGTCATGGGGCCTGAACTCTGCGCCTGGGCACTGTCCCTCAGCTCTTCAGCTCAAGGCTAGCGCTCTACCACTTTGAGCCACAGTGCCACTTCCAGTCTTTTCTGCTTATGTAGTGCTGAGGAATCGAACCCAGGACCTCATGCATGCAAGGCAAGCACTCTACAACTGAGCCACTTTCCTAGCCCCAAGTATTGTTTTTTATTACCATCATTTAATTTTTTTCAGTTGTGTGGCTTGAACTCTGGGCCTGGGCACTGTCCCTGAGTTGTTCAGCTCAAGGCAAGCGCTCTACCACTTGAGCCACAGCACCACTTGGGTTTTCTTGTGATTAGTTGAACCATGATTCTCAGATCTCAGCCTCCTGAGTAGCTAGGATTACAGGTGTGAGCCACTGGTGTCCAATCAGAAGTAATTTTTATTCAATAACATTATTGAAATATCATATAGTTTGTCCCTCTTCTTTACATAAATGCAGTGTATATTGTTTTTGTTTTTTTTTTTTAATTTTTTTGGCTTTTTTCTTTTTGCTTATGTGGTGGTGAGGAATCAAACCCAGGGCCTCATGCATGCAAGGCAAGCGCTCTACCACTGAGCCACCTTCCCAACCCCGGCCCTTGTCTATTGTATGGCTAGTGAAAATCTCCCAGTCCGTGGGCTTTCTATTGATCTCGCTAGGTATGTCCTTTGCCATGCAGAAGCTCTGCAGTTTCATGCAATCTTATTTTTCCAAACTTTCTTTGATTTGTTGTGTTTCTGAGTCTTTATTAAGAAAATTGCTAGTGGGTGCTGTGGCTCACATCTGTAATTCTAGCTACTAAGGAGGCTGAGATGTGAGGATCAAGGTTCAAAGCCAGCCTGGGCAGGAAAGCCTGTGAGACTCTTTATCGCCAATAAATCACTCAAAAAACCGGAATATAGTGCTATGGCTCAAGTGGTAGAGCACTGGCCTTGAGCTCAGGGACAGGGCCCAGGCCCAGAATTAAAGCCCCACAACCAACAAAAAAAAAGAAAATAGCAGCCTGTGCCAAGGAGCCCTAGAGTTTCTCCTATTCCTTTCTGCAATGTTTTCAGGGTGTCTGCTTTGATGTCGAGATCTTTGATCCACTTGGAGTTGGTTCTGGTGGAGGGTGATATATAAGGATCTAGCTTTAGTTTTCTCTAGGTGTTTAACCAATTTTTCCAGCACCATTTACTGAAGAGGCTGTCTTTCTTTCTTCCATTCTATTTTTTAGCTTCCTAGTTGAAGATTAAATGGCTATAGGTGTGAGGGTTCATTTCTGGGTCTTCAGTTCTATTCCATTGGTCCTCAGGTCTGTTCTTATGCCAGTACTAAGCTTTTTTGATTACTATGGCTTTGTAGTAGAGTTTGAAATTTGGTATTGGTGTTCTTCTAGCACTGTTCTTTCTGCTAAGGATTGCTTTTAATTTGGGGTCTTTTATTGTTCCATATGTATTTTTGGATTGCTTCTTCTATTTCATTGAAGAATGAAGTTGGGATATTGATAGGTATCGCATTGAATGTGTAGATAGCCTTTGGCAGTATTGTCATTTTCACAATGTTATCCTCCCAATCCAGGAGCATGGGAGGTTTTTCTACTTCCTTAGTTCTGCTTTAATTTCCTTTTTCAGATGTTTAATGTTTTCATCATAGAGTTCTTTCACTTCTTTAGTTATGTTAACTCCTAGGTATTTTTTTTTTTGTGGTTCCATTACAAAAGGAGTTGCTTTCCTGATTTCAGCCACGCCCTTCTCGTTATTTGGCATACAGAACAGCTATTGATTTTTGAGGGTTATTTTTATACCCTGCTACTTTTCCAAAAAGCTTCAGATCAGCTTGAGTAACTTGGGAGTGGAGTCCATGGGGTTCTTTAAATACAAGATCATGTCATCTGCGAAGAGGGAGAGTTTTACTTCATCTTTTCCTATTTGGATCCCCTTTATGTTTGCATCTTGTCTTATTGCTCTAGCTAGGCATTCTAATACTAGATTGAAGAGAAGTGGAGAGAGTGGACATCCTTGTGGTAGAAGAAATGGCTTTAGCTTTCCACCATTAAATATAATGCTGGCTGTAGGTTTGTCATACACAGCCTTTATTGTATTGAGGAATGTTCCATGGATTTGTAGTTTTTCCAGAGCTTTCATCATAAAGAGATGTTGGATCTTGTCATATGCTTTTTCTGTATCTATTGAGATAATAATGTGGTTCTTATCCTTGCTCTTGTTGATGTGATGAACTGTATTAATTGATTTATGCATATTGAACCAGCTTTGCATCCCTGAAATGAATCCTGTTTAATCATGGTATATGATTTTTTTGATGAGTTATTAAAGTCAATTGGCCAAAATTTCATTGAGAAGCTTTGCATCGATGTTCATCAAAGAAATGGGTCTGTAGTTCTCTTTCTTTTTGAGTCCCTGCCTGGTTTGGGGAGGAGGGTTATGATGGTGTCATAGAAAGAGTTTGGATAGTGAACTTTCACTTTCATTGAAGATTTGGAGGAGGGACTGGGTAGGTGGCTCAGTGGTAGAGTGCTTGCCTCGAATGCATGAGGACCTGGGTTCAATTCCTCAGCACCACATACACAGAAAAAAGCCGGAAGTGGCACTGTGGCTCAAGTGGTAGAGTCTTGAGCTGAAGAGCTCAGGGATAGCACCTAGGCCCAGAGTTCAAACCCCACCAAGGACCAAAAAAAAAAAAGACTTGGAGGAGCATTAGTGTGAGTTCTGCTTTGAAGGCCTTGTAGAACTCAGCTATAAATCCATCCGGTCCTGGGCTTTTCTTGAGTGGGAGGGCTCTTATTGCCATTTCTATTTTGATGCTTGATATGGGTCTGTTAAGTTGGTTTAAATCATCTTGGCTTAGTTTGGGCAGAAATTCATCCATTTCTTCCAGTTTCTCAAACTTATTATCATAAATATTTGAGAAGTATTCCTTTATAATGTTCTGAATCTTGGTTGTTTCTGTGGTGATGTTTCTATTCTCAGCTCTGAGTTTATTTATTTGGGTGTGTTCTTTTTTTTCTGATAAGATTTGCTAAGAGTCTGTCGATTTTGTTAATTTTTTTCAAAGAACCAACTCTTCATTTTGTTGATTCTTTCTTTTTTTTTT